ATTATTATTCACGACAAATATGTAAATACATACAAATCCGCACCCTATTCATGACTATTAGTTAATTACATCGTCAAAATTACTTGAAAAATATTCCGCTAGTCATTGCAAGATAATACCAGTATAAATATTATACGTAGGCTGTCCGATAAATAAGGTACAAAAATATACTGAATAATGAAAAATCAATTTATTACTTTAAAAATTTTACGCAATAAATTAGACATATTTTTCTATTTTTCTACATAGTCACCATTTAAATTGATGCATTTTTCCCAACGATGGAGTAATTTGAAAATGCCATCTCGGAAATACGCAGCACATTTTCCATCGAAGTACTCGGTAACTGCGTTCATTACCTCCTCCTCATTTTGAAAAGTGTTTTTTTAACAGACCAAACAAAAAAAAATCCGAAGGTGCCAGATCAGGACTATATGGTGGATGTTCCAATACTTCCCACTTGTATTTTTCCAGCCAAGCTTTGGTTTTTCCGGCTGAATGTGGGGTTGCATTGTCATGCAGCAGTTTCACATTTCCTGAGCGTAATTGTCCTCTTCTCTTGAAACGAATTTTTTTCTTTCAATTTTTTTAACGTTTCAATGTATCGGTCAGCATTTATTATTTCATTTTTTGATAAAAATTTAATCAGTAAAATTCCTTGTGCATCCCAAAACACAGTAGCCATCACTTTTTTTGAGGAAATTGTTTGTTTGAATTTTTTTGGAACTGGCGATTCGGGATGTTTCCAAGTCATCGAGTCTCGTTTGTTGTAAGGGGTAGAATAATGAACCCATGTCTCATCTCCTGTAATGAGGTGATCGAGGAAGCTTTCGTCATTACGAGCACGATTCAAATGCTCTATGGATATCCGCATACGTTTGGTTTTGTGGTCTGCTATAAGCATTTTCGGTACCCAGCGCGCACAAACCTTACGAAAATTTAATTTCTCATGAACAATTTCATGCACAGTAGTCTTTGGGAGATCAAGTTTTGTGGCCATTTCCCTAATCTTGAGTCGTCTATCCGATCGTAGCAGTTTTTCGACTGCATCAATGGTTTCGGCGGTGGACGTGCTTATTGGTCGACCACTTCTTGCCTCATCTTCAACACTTTCTCGACCTGAATTAAATTTTGTACACTAAACCGATACACTTTTTCGAGACATTACTTGTGGGCCATAAACTTCGGTTATTTTTCGATGAATTTCAGTCGGAGAAATATTTTGAAAATTAAAAAACCGAATGACGGCGCGGACTTCTTCTTTTGTGCAACATAGATACTGGTTTTCCATGTTTATAATTACGTAGCTGACGGAGCACTAAACCATAATAGTTATATCACATAGAATATGTCGTTTGTTACCTAAATTATCAATTCTGGAAATTTCCGGCCGATATGGTTCATTGTTTACGCTAAAAATAACTTTGTACCTTATTTATCGGACAGCCTACGTACATTGTATATCGTATAGTATTTTTTTTTAATTTGTATATTTCTTAGTGCTAAATAACCTAAATAAAATAATATAATGAAATAAATAGGTATGTTACAATTTATACTTGTTAATATTTATAAATTAAAATATTTATTTATATGTGTTAATATGATACATTTAATGATTAAATTGAGATAAGGTACTTGTGGGAGG